ATGAGCAGTGGACCAATGAGAGGCCTTTGCTGATGAGCAGTGGACCAGAACACCTGTCAACAGGTGCACAAGTCTGACTGAGAGTTACAGAAACACCTGATTGGCTCAGAGGCTTGTTCAGGTAGGTGCTAGTCCACCAGGTCCCATCAGGCTGGTTTGATTTTAGTTTAGTGTTTCTGTTGCACCACAATCCAAAGCAGCGTCATGATGATCACTAGATTTTCATTTATAATTACTTCTGTCAGTTTATTCCAGTGACTGAAGCTGTCGTTTCCTCCTCTAGTGGGAGGTGTGAACACACCTGAGGACGGCTGTAGATGTTCACCTGTTCCTGTCAATAATCAGAACATCACAATGGCTCCAGATTACAGCTTTATCATAATAACTATGATCCATCACTGATGCTTCAGTTTCTGGTGTTAGCATCTGGCTACATTAGCAGGAAGCTAATGAGGCGGTTGTAGCGTCTCCACAGATCATCAGCCTCAACTAACTAGAACTCAAACTAGTTTCACTGTTTGTATGATTTAAAACGAGCGTTTAAACACTTCAGGAAGTTCAGTCTCACCTGGACAGGTGTCCATAAGGGACCTAACTGTTGTGTACGGAACCAGATGTGATGCTGCTGCAGGACTGTGTGAACACCAGCTGCTGACAGAAGCTCATCCCTGGAGCTGACTCACCTGCTCACAGGTAGAGCCGGTCAGTATCACTGAGACTACGTTACTCTGAAACACAGCAACAACACCTAAAAGAACCACTAATGAAATGTCACAAGTCCCCAAAATAAAACCAAAAGGTCAGGAGCACATGTTGACTGTTAATGACCTGAATTATGTCATAAATACTAAAAATGGAAACAACTGAAACATGTTGAAAGCTGTCAGCAGGATGTTGAACACATGGAAGAACGTCTGGAAAGGCTCCCAAAACAAAACCAGAAAATACAAGGAAGTAGTGAAACCTCCATGTTGAGAAAGAAGTGGAACGAGAAGAAGAACCTGAATCAGTGAAGACGCCTTTAAAGACGTTATTTTATCAAACTGCACACATTCAGTAACGAACAGCAGCAGATTGACAAGAAACAGAACGATGAAACCTCTCTGTGAAACCATCCATCATCTCCACACCTTCATCCTCACCAGGGTCATGGGGGGCGGAGTCTATCCCAGCTGACTCAGGGTGAAGGCAGGTTCACCTGGACAGGTAACCAGTCTATCACAGGGCTACACTTAGAGACAGACAACCAAGCACACTCACATTCACACCTACGGACAATTTACAATCACCAATTAACCTCAGCATGTTTCTGGACTGTGGGAGGAAGCCGGAGAACCCGGAGAGAACCCACGCTGCACGGGGAGAACATGGAGACTCCACGCAGGAAGATCCCGGGTGTCCTCACCGGGACGTGAACCGGCGACCTTCTAGCTGTGAGGCGCTAACGGTGCTAACCACTGAACCACCTGCAGCCCTGAAACCTTCAGATAGATGGAAATAAAACAGACAGATTTCTGGATCAGAGTGAATAAAAAGCAAAAATATGTTTAAAATCATCAACAAAACGTCCCACAAGTGTGAGGACGTGAATGAGAGGTCCAAAAACATGAAGGTAAGAGGAAACCGCATGAATTCATAAAAACAAACCGGCACAAAAACGTTTTTACTCTTAACATCACCTTAAGACTGCTGTGGGGGTTTTTGTACAAAAACACCCCAAAGACTTCTGTGTAAAAACCTCCCACATGTTTAATCACATTTACTAAAAGACCTCCTGCTGGTAAATCTGCCTCTGGAGTTTAAAACCTTCACTTTTATTTGATCCCTGATTTTACTCAGACGTCACCACGAGAGCTTCCAGTTCATCAGGTATTGATCAGGTTATAGATGGACCCTGATCATCACCTCACAGCACCTTCAGATGAAGACCAATGAAATACGGACTCTATCAGAATGTTCTTTACCTGCAGCTGATCAGAACATTTCTATAGAACAGGTTGGCCCAGATCTTCCAGGTTCCTCCAACA